ATCTCCAAATATTCACACCAGGAGTTAGGGCTTCATCTTATAAACTCTGGAGGGGGGCACAATTCAGTCCATATCAGGCAGGTTGCAATTTTAAATAAAATGGTCAGGATAAGTCTCATTAAGGAGGCTCATTTGAGTGGGGTTTTAAAGGAGATGTGTATTTAGTTATGCCAACAAGAGGAACCATGCCAGATAAGAGGAATAACTAGTGCAAATTAGAAACATTATATGTAGGAGCATTAGAAGATCAGTGAATCAGGAGCAAAGTAAGCATTAGTTAGAATGGTAGAAGATGAGTTTGGATAGAGATTGATAGGATAAGTCATATAGGACTTGGGCTTTCATCCTGAGAGAAATGGAGAGTACTGGAAGATTGATGTTATGTTTTATCTTTTAATGCGTTAGTTCAAACTATGTTGAAAATAGGAAGTAATTAACATTTAATGAGGTAATAGGGGTGGGGCTCTTCTATGATAGAATTAGTATTCTTATAGGAAAGGATACCAGAGCATTCACTTATTTCTCCCATGTGAGGACACAGTAAGAAGGCTGCTGCTACAAGCCAGGAGAAGAGTTCTCACCAGAAATTAAATCAAATTGGCTGTCACCTAGATCTTGGAATCCCAGCCTTTAGAACTATGAGAAGAATTTCTCTTATTTAAGCCACCAAATAAGCCACCAAATTTATAGTATTTTGTAATGGCAGTCTGAGCAGACTAATACACTGCCCCTACCATAATACTTTTGAATCTCCTTACAATATTTCTTTAATCTTTCATTCAGTAACTTCTAAGATACTATATAATTTGTTTGTTTATTATGTTATCTGTTTATTGTTTGTTCTCACTGTGGAACATAATCTCCAGAGGGGTAGAGATTTTTATTTTGATTTGTTCACTCATATATCCTAAATGCCTGTAATACTACCTGGAAGGTGTTCAACAAATTTATATTGAATGAATGAAAAAGGAGTTCAAATTGTCAGGTATGATAAAAATTGGTACAGTTAATTTCTGTTTTAAATGTGAAGTAATTATTTCAGGCTTTACATTAAAAAAGAAAATATGAAATAAAAAATTCTTCCTCCCGAAGATACATGTGTTTATATCTTCTTATCAATAACTATAGGTTTTAAAGGCTTTGTCCCTCACCCTATATCCTCTCCCCATTCTTAAATCTAATATCTCTTTAAAAATAAAAACATTTATAAAGTCTAAGTTCCTTGCTACTTGTATGCACTATAAAACAATTATAAAATGTATATGTTGAAGGTATTAATATTTTTGATTAAATGACATTCAGTATGAAATAAATTAAAAACAAATTTGTTAAAATAAAATTGAGATTTGATTTCAAATGCAATATCAGGGAGGTTAAAGACAGTTGAGATTGTATACTAAAATAATTATTTTAAAAGTCTTGGAGGTATCTTTTTATAAGGATCTGTTTTTCTGGAAGTATGGAGACAAGTTAGTTTCAAAGAAAACATTCAGCTTCAGTGAAACATCCCATAACTAAAAATAGTGGAGGATACCATATTTATTCAGGGAGAGAACCCTGTTAGAATGCCTTTCCTTGTAGAAGAATTGCAACCTAGAATTTAATTAAATAGTTAAACGTAAACTAAAGAAGCCTATCTTGTTGACAAATTTAATCAACCAATCAATCAATGGAAAATATATCCACAGATAGAAATATATCCACTGAAAGAATAGTTAAGAAACATGTTTGAATTAAGTAAACAATGACCAATTAATTCTATGATTATAGGTGATTGGTTATTCTTAAATAGACACAATAAAATACCAAGTCAGTTAATAATTCAATAATAATGATGAATAAAGTTAGATTTCCAAATCAAAAGCAATTTGAACAGAAAAGGGATCTGCTAGTGAAATTATCTACTTCTTATGGCTATTTTCACACTTTCTTCAAAATGAATAATTTAGTCACATTCTTAGCCACCCAATTTTAATCTGATTTTTGAATGGGCAATACTGATAAGTTAATTTCATGTTTCATCAGCTAGAAGGTCCAGATGCAAATCTTTATCTTATTTGTCAAAAATAAGTAGTTCACTAATTTTTTTTGTAATTATGGTGGCATATAAAGGAATCTTAAGTAATTTTTAAATACTATGAATTGCATTAACTTTATCACAGAGTCCAAACCGCAAACTAATTTTTTTCTTCTAACAGATATTTCTTCATAAGAGTTTATCTCTATTGAAATTTATTTTGATGAAGAACAACTATGAAAACAAAAGACCCACTGCTCCAAGGAAGCTGCTGTGGCTCTAGAGGGACTTCTTTACCTATCACAGGCATGAAAAAAGTAGTGGTCAGATTTAGCTAGGGACTAAAACCATTGAAAACTATTACTTTAGAGCAGGCAAAAGTTGAGTACTGCTCCTTGGCATGCTTGCTTAGAGGATGGCATGCTAGACTTTGAGAAGTGAGTGACCTCATTAGATACTATGAAGGGCAAATAAAATTGATCACCTGCAGAAATATATTTTTGAGAAATATATATTTTCTTATTAATACAATAAAGCATAGATTTCTTAATAAGTAACTGCTGAGCTAAATTTAAAAAAGAACGCTTAACTTAAAAATATTCCAGCCTTCAAATTATTTTAGAAAGATGAGAATGCAACTTTATAGTAGGGACTTCTAAAACAAATAAACCCCCAAATTAACATTAGTCTAAATGCCAAGACCTACACACACACACACACACACACACACACACACACACAATCTCTTTCATTTTTTCTTGTGCCAAAAATCTACATATATATGTGTATACACACACATACATATTTATATTTCTATCTATCAAACAACAAAAAGTAGAAATAGGTGAACCAAGATTTGTGAGAAATCAAGATATGAGAGTAACTAGGAACCTATGGTTGTAATAGGAAGAAGATTAGATGTACTGGATTGCCATGACATCTGTTAAGGTAGGAAGGATAAGAACATGTGGATGGAATGAATGAGGAAACATATGTATATATTGCAATGTGCCCACAAGAAAATGTCCCAAGAAGTAAGGGAAGTGTGGCAAAAGTGGGCATATAGCTTATCTGTGAGTGCACAACACCAGATATAAGATGAACCCATTTTATGGCTGCAAAGCTAAAGGTTTAGGCTGTCACACAAATGAAAAAATAAAAGCACTGGGGCAAAGGTTAGAAGTATTCTTGAATAAACCTGTTTGTGTGGCTTGACTTTATGATCTCTCCAGAATTATCTATTGAGTGTAGAGATCCCCCAATTTCTTGGATCTACAGAGGTATCACAGGATTAGTGTGGAGCCAGAAATGAGCCTAATACACACAATTATATGTATTACAAATTAATATCTATATACATAGAGTACACTATGTTGATAAGCAAAAACAATTCTATAAATTAATATAGGAACCTAATACTTAAAAAAAGTGAATTGTATTTTGTATGCAAATATAATTCCTCTCTCCCAAATTGTAAAATTTTACGCAAAACAAATTTTCTGTTTAAATAATTTATTATTTAAGCAGCAAAATGGACCACTCCACTTCTATAGCATTATGGTTAATTGAGTTTCATGGTTATTGCATTCAGTATTGCATACTGATTTATATTTCACTTATAAACAAATAAATCAATTTTATACTTAGAAAATAAAATTACAAATTCTTACTCAGAATGGACAACTGCTTCTGAAGATTACATTTTATAGATATTGCATACTTTTAAATACCAACATGCTACATAAGTGTCTAATAACCATCAAGTGATCATAACTTCACATATTCCTATAGACAGCTACACTTGGAGAAATGAGAATTTGGTTACAACATGGAAAGCAAACTATCAGGGAAGAAAATGACTTTAAGAATAGTGCGACTATTACACAAATGTCTTACAAGTAGACATTAAAATTCTGCCTTGTTTTAAACCATGTAACTTATGTTAGATTATCTTTTTCTAAGTAAAAAGATGTGTGACTCTAAAGAGGTAGTACAAGGAACTGGAGTAATGGAAAAGTTCTGTACCCAATTTTCTTGGTGGTTACTTGAGGCTACACAACAAAATCTCATAAAATTTTATGGAACCACACATTAAAAATTGTATATAAAAATTTGTGAAATCTGAATATAGTATATAGTATATAGATCAGTTAATAGCATTGTATCAATGTCAATTTTCTGATTTGATAATTGTACCATGGTTATGTAAAATATTATCATTAGGGAGAGCTGAGGAATGGACCATAGAAAATCTTTGTACTATTTTGGCAACTTTCACATTGAGCCTAAAGTTATTTCAATAAACAAATATAAATGATGTGGTCCTCTCTTAGGAATTGAGAGAAGAAAGCAAGATAGCTTTTTCTTTTTCTTTTTTTTTTTTTAATACAGAGCACAGGGGGGCAGCCCTGGTGGCGCAGATGTTTGGCTCTGCGTTTGGCCCAGGGTATGACCCTGGAGACCCAAGATCGAGTCCCGCGTCGGGCTCCCTGCATGGGGCCTGCTTCTCCCTCTGCCTGTGTCTCTGCTTCTCTCTCTCTCTCTCTCTCTCTCTGTGTATTGCTCATAAATGAATTAAAAAAAAAAGATAAATAAACAGAGTTGTGACATGTGGTGACTTCCAAAAAAAAAAAAAAAATAGCACCCGGATGTGTTGGGGTGGGGCCTGGCTGGGGGTGGGGGGGCGGCTGTGATAAGGAGAGAGAATCTAAGGCAGTCTCCTTGCCCAGCACAGAGCCACCTATTACAACCCTGAGATCATGACTTGAGCCTGAAATCAAGAGTTGGACACTGAACTGCTTGAGCCACCCAGGCACCTGGAAAGCAAGATAGCTTTATAGAAAGAGGCAAACAATGGTTAATATTGTAATTAATAACAAAATTTCCAGAATTCAAAATGATCCCACTAAGACTGCTAGCAAATATAGCTCATGACAGAAGAAGCTATTCTGGTTGCCTCTGATGTTGCGTTAGAGCCTCTTACTTGTTTTTACTGTTTGCCAGCCCAGGGAGAATGGGCTGCGAGCCTGCAGGTTGTAGGAGGAGATTGGGCTGTGGTTGTCAGCTGCAGGACTCCAGGAGAGTGTGGCTGTGCTTTCGGTGATTTCCTCAACAATCACTACCCCTGGTGGGCCTGGGGGACCTATAGGCAAAAGGGAATGAATAAAGTTAAATACAAGCCATGATGAAGAGCTATGAGAAATTGTATTTCCAATAAAGATCCAATCAAACTATCTAACTGTCTAAATGAAACACATATTTAGTAATGAAAATTGACAGTAGAAAGATGGGATCCAAAGTGGGTACCATGATTTCTGCTGGGAACTTAATTATATATTTGATTTTTTTTCCTAACACTTTGCTTGGAGGCAACTACCAATTACCATTATATTTTATAGGAAAAGAAAAAAAAACAATTAGATACACACAAGAATATGAATGTCAATATTAACTATGACTATGGACATCAACCACAGCTTAAAGAAGCTATATACACAGCTTATAGAGAGTGATTGGCAATGGTATCAGTAACAAAAAAGATCCCATAGTTAACAAAATATTATAGGTGTATGGGCCTAATTTTTAGGTTCAAGAAACCTGCAAGTGTACAAATACTGTGATGTGACTATCAAGTAGCTTAAACTTTAACAGGGGAAATATCAAGAGCTCTGAAATAATGATAGTTCAGGCCAAAGGATATATTTTAGAAGTAAGGCATGGACAAATTTTGTGGGGATTTAAAAGGAAGGTGTGATTTTGATGGATGATGATGATAATGATGATGATAATGGTGATGATTTGTGATGGGGATGGGAGAGTAGTTCATCAGAGAAGATTATTTTCCTTATGCTTATGAAAAATTGGTATAGAATAGTGATAATCAATCTATGAGCATGTAGACTCTACCTTCAAGAAACAACTGTGGTCTGATGGAGAAATATACCTTTGTATTATCACTTCTTAAAATAGTGATATCTAATAGCATTTAAAAATATGTAGAGTGTTTACATTTTAGTAGTTGGAAAGCATGCCGATGTTCTTATTGACATTCTTCTGTTCTTTAATATGGACAATTCAGGCTGCAAGGATTCTTTTATTTTCAATGACAGCAAACAAAAAAACCTTTTAAGTATTTTGGGTTATTTTCTGAATTAGTCCTACCAGTACCATTCTGGCTTCATTTGACTCCCTAGTCCACCTTAATGCCATTGTCATTTACACTATTTGCATCTTTGGTGACAAACTAAACCACATTTATAAGTTCTCAAATCTGAATGGACTAAGTTAACTACTTAATTTCTCTGGCTCTGGTCTTGGCTTTCTAGTCTAACCTTGCTGAGTCAGATTTGATTACAAAGTCTGATCAGGAGGGGCTGAGCTAGACTATAAGTAGCTAAGAAATGGTGGAGTGCTGGAGAAATGGAGGCAGTTAGTAAAGACCTCTTGGGTAGACAATTTCAAGAAGGAAGGAGCAAGGAGATGGTAAAAGCATTTTAAAAGCTTCATGAAGCAAATGACATTTTTAGGAAATGAGAACTGAACATTTTAATCAACTGAGTCCATTCAGATATAAGAATTTTTGAATTTGGTTTGGCTTATCATCAAAGATGCCAATAGTGTGAATGGCCATGGTGTCAAGATTGCCTAAGGAGTCAAGTAGAACCAGAAAGGTGTTTATACAGTAGAATAAAAGAAAGGAATCAGGAAAGCATGATGGAAGACATAAGAAATGGAACTTGTGAAGAGAAAATTGCAGAGTTTGTGATTTAAGTGTAGGGTACTTTTGAATGAGACTTTGTGCTTATTTGGAGTGAAGTGGGGAATATATTAGGGTTGACAAGGTCAAGGATTTATGGAAGAATATGTTTGATGTGTCATCAGTGTGAATATTCAAAGCATTAAAACAGTGGCTAAGGATGAGCTGAGGTAAATAAATGAGATCCAGGTGCTGAAGATGTCTAACAAGTTGTTAGACTGTGGAGGCATAAATTTAAAGAGAAACTATAATGATGATAACATAAATAATGATGAGAATATTAACTGTAATTACTGATAGCTACCATATCCTCACTTTACTAAATTAAGGCTTTGTATTACATATTTTGCAAACATTAACCTGTTCATTTATTTCTGTGTCACTGTAGGGTTGACATTATTCTCCCTATTTCATAGAAGACATAAAAGAAATCTCAGAGATTGGTTAGTCAGTAAATAATAAATAAATTTCTTAGTCAATAACTTTATTATATGTTAGGTATTATGGAGACAGTAGGTATCAGAGAATCCATTCTTATGAGGAGATATATTTTTGCTCAAGTCATTCTGTTGGTGAATGGCACAGCTAATATTTGAATTTGGATCTGGTTATAAAACCTGATTTGTCCAAAGAAGCAAGAAGTACACAGATCTGTCCTGCTTTCACTGCTAATTTGGAAAGTAGTTTTAAATAAAGAAATGAAAGAAAAAGTATGTGTTAAGGAAAGGCATGATTCAATTATGTGGTAGAGACAAAGATGGCATTTGAGGGAAGCAGTTAGGACTTTGTGGCAGCCTGTGTATAAGGTGGACACCATTACTCTTTCCTCCCTGTACTTGCAGGCCATTACCTCATTGAAAGGTGGAGCCTGTTCTTTCACTTCCTTGTATGTGGGCTGGCTTGTCACTATCTGACTCAAAAGACAATGGTAGAGGTGACACTGCATGACTTTTGAGGAGAGGCTATAAGAAGCTTTGCGGCTATCAATCCAGGCCTCTTGAATGCTTATCAATACTTATGTCTCCTTAGAAATCTAATTAACCTAAGGCTACCATTCTGTAAGAAAGTCCAAGCTATCATGTTGGAGAACCTTGTGGAGAAAGCTTAATCCAACTTGCTCTCAGCTATTCTAGGCGTCCCAGCCTACACATGCACCAAACATGTGACTGATGAAGCCTTCAAATAACCCCACCTCCAACCACCATGGGATTCATATGCATGAGAGATCTCAAGTACTTGACTGCCTGTCATCTGCCAAAATCATGAGGGCAAATAATACATTGATATTTGAAGCCACTAAGTTTTGGAGCAGCAACAGATAACTGGAACAGACTTCAAAACAGTTTGATTTGAAAGTTTGTTCATAGATTGAGAATTGGTCAGGAGGATCTTCAAAATGCTATGAAAAAAAGCATTTTTTCATAAAATAAAAATTTTGCTAATGCTTTCCAATAGGAATAGTTACCAACATAATTCATTTATTAAGCTCTTTTATATTGTTCCTTTTGTTCTGTTCCATTCCATCTCTTCCTTTTATTCACCTCTTCGAAAAGCATGAACAACCAACTCTGTGTGAGATATGATAGAAAATATTGTGGGAAATAACTCTTTGTTAACTTAAAATAATTTGCCTTTCTGAGTATTAATGGTCTACAAAATGTTTAAATTAGTTTTCTTAAATAAAGGTGTATTACTTTTAATAATAGGTAATTACTACTCTAAAAAGTTTTTAAAAACTTTAGCTAGAACAAAAAAGGAATTTACAACATAATTAATAAATTCCCAAGTATTTTTCTCCGTATGTGGCTATTTTCTCAAGTATAGTCCTTAGCAAAATAATAAGTGAGAGTAAAAACAAGATTTATGTACCCAGGACACTGACTATGGCTGTGCAATTATTTATAATTATAAACCATTGTAAATAAGTAATTGTCCACTAATCATGTAAGGTTTAAATAATAAAATTTTATGATAAAATATTAGCCAGCCATTAAACTAATATTTAGGATTATTTGCTATGTGGGAAATGTTCACAATATAATAAGGGAAAAATTAAAATGAAAAATTATGTAAATATAAATGTATGGTTATTTCCCAAATACATAAAGGAAAAGACCAGAAATAAATGCATTAAAGTATACATGGTAGTTAATATTGCTTGGAAATGACAATATAGATGATAAAAATTTTATTCTTGTTTATATTTTCCAATTCTGCGTAATAAGGATCTAAAATTATTTTTTAAAGTCATTTAAAGTCATTATTTTAAGGAAAGCCTCCATATGGTATGTATGCACTATTGTAAGTACTATTTAACCAAACATTTACTGGAGGTCCATTATGTATAAAGCAATGTGTGAGTGGTGAGAGATGAGTAGGGGAATGATTTACAGGAGAACAAAATAGGGTTCCAACTCTAGATGTATTAAAATCTTGTGATAGAGACAGATCTTTTACAACAAGCAAATTCGAGATAATGATAATGCTATATTCAAGTGTTTGAGAAGTATATTTTACATCTCATAATAGCTCTTGTTATGTTGCCTATAATTATTTTTCTAAAATTTCCACTTGTCTGAATATCCAACATAGTACTTGGAATATATTAGGCCCTCAATAAATATTTGTAGAAGGAGACATGAGAAAGAAGGGAGAAGAAGGAAAAGAGAAGATAAGAAAGGACCGAGGAGTTGTTTTAGTTTGGAATTAACAAATATAAGAATGTTTTAAAATAAAGTAATTATCATATAAGATATGGTTCCAGTATAGTAGCTTCTTTTCTTGTTAAAATAAAATATATTTGAAAACATATATATTTGAGTTAACACCTTTTTTTTTTTCAGTCAAGTTGAGTAGGATGGTAATGAAATTGGCAGAATAGCTCCATGAATGAGGCAAATAAGTTTTTTTGTATGATTTAATAAATTATTAAATCCTATGTACAGATACTTTTCTAAATCTTTATAAATCTAAAGATTTTTTATGAATATATTGTAAAAATAGTCTGAAAAATTAATTACGCGTTTTACCTTTTAAGGTAAATTAAATTTAATTTTCAACCATAATAAAAGTGGAAATGAAATTTATGGTTGTTATATTAGTATTGGCTTGTTAATACTCTATTATAAAGAAATATACATTTTCACACATTGTATACTGAATGCTGGCCGTATAGCTTTCTGTTTATATTTAGGAGTGAATTACATTAATTATATTAATTATATTAATTACATTAATATAATCAATACCCTTATTTTTAAGTCCTGTTAATGATGGACATATTTTTGCCATTTTTTGACTTTTTTTAAAAATCAAGAAGTAAATTATCTCTTTAAAGGCTATATCTAATTTACATTCGACATCTTTGAAAATAGATTAATAAGAAA